CAGGGTTTGCTGTGCCATCAGCTGGCATGGGTGCGATCTCAGCCTTTGCCAGGAGATCAGTCGGTGCAATGTCAGAGGTGGTTATCTCGTCAGTCAAAGCGTTGTCAGGGTTTGCTGTGCCATCAGCTGGCATGGGTGTGATGTCAGCCTTTGCCAGGAGATCAGTCGGTGCAATATCAGAGGCGGTTGCCTCGTCAGCCAAAGCGGTGTCAGGGTTTGCTGTGCAATGAATCGGTGTCATGTCAGGCGTCGCCATGAGATCAGTCAGTGTGGTGGGAGGGCTTGTCAGGTCCTGGGTCAAAGCAGTGTCAGAGGTTTCTGTGGGATCAGTCAGTGCAGAGCTGACATCAGGCGGTGCCTTGAGGTCAGTTGGCCTGGTGTCAGGCTGTGCCATGGCCTCAGGTGGTGTGGTCTTGGGTGTTCTACGCCGAATTCCCACGAATTTGAGAAACCTCTGCAGGAGAACAAAGGATGGGGAAGAGAAGAAATTCCCATGGAGTGCTCCAACAGCAGTGCTCGGCTGAGAGGTGACAGCAGGCGGAGCCCAGGTGGAGATGGCTGCAGGTACCTGAACTGCTCTGCGGAAGCGGCCATGGGTACGGACGTGCTCTTCTGTCCGGTGCTGGCCTGGATCTGCCAAAGAGTAATTGCAATCAGAGCTGAGGGCTTGCAGGAGATGTCAGAGAATACAGCCCAGTCCTTCACTCCACAGGCAGGGCCAGCCTTGGGATGCCCAGTGGATGGAGCAGGGATGCATGGGTGATCAGCCTTGGCCCCTCTTCCCGGCTCCCTTTGCCTGAGCTTGTTTCACAGGGGACGGGAAGGGGCCAAGGTGGCTGCAGCCACCAGCCCTGTAGCCCAGGTCCAGCACTGACCCTGCTGCAGGGGCTGGGAGTCTTGCACATCCTCAGGTTGCCGTGCTGGGGCAGGCTCAGGGCCTTTGTTCCTCCTCCTGAGAAGCCTGCACAGGCCGGAGCGTCTCCCTGCCATGCCACAGTCTGTCCTCAAGGGCACCTGCAAAAGAGACACCTCGGAAAGGCCTCTGCTCGCAAGTTCTGCAGAATGGCCTCAAGGGCACGTTCCACAGGGATTGGAGACGCCTCAGACAAGCTGCAGGTCCCCAAGTCCTGTGGTCTGGCCTCAAGGGCCACGGTCCACAGGGATTGGGGACACCTCAGACAAGCTTCGGGTCCCCAAGTCGCGTGGTCTGTCCTCGAGGGCACCTTCCAGCAGGAGTGGTGGTGTCTCGGAGAAGCTCCGGGTCCCCAACTCCTGTGGTCTGGCCTCGAGGGATGTTGCTAGAAAAGGAATCCTCAGAAATGCTTCTGGTCAGCGACGAATGAGTTGGCTGTGAGGAGACTCCTCACAGCACCGCTCTGTCCCGTCCTGTCCAGACGCGCGCTCTGAGCACAGTGGCGAGGCCGTGTTACCAACCAACGCCTATATCATATGTGTCACAAAGGACTCATGGACACACTGCCCCATCCCATTCCATTGGTGATGGCTACCATGTCACAAAGGGCCCCATGACACACTGCCACGTGCCCTGGGGCCTCCCCCAGCTCGGCCAACCTGCCCCAGGTTGAAAGGAATCCATTCCCTAAAGTGTCTGAAACAACTGGATGTGAATTTTAGGAATGGCTCATGAAAGGAGCAAACACTCCCCTGCTGTGTCTGCTCTTGGCAGCAGAAGGAGCCCCCTTGGCTGCTGATGAAGTCCCAGTGGGAAGGGCACGGGATCTCCACAGAACCTTGCCAGGCCTCCTCTGGAGAAGTCTTGACTGGTGGCCATCTAAACACAGGGGTGTGACATGGAGAAGCAACATTTGGGCAAGGGCATGAATGCTGCTCTGACCCCTTCAGCTGGGGTTGCACCGAAATCAGCATCTCTGGCAAGTCCCTGCCCAAGCAGACCTGCCCCCCACAGCTTGGATCTGAATCCAACCTTTGATATTAAACAACCCTGAACTCCAAGATTTATTTTAGAATGATACAATCAGAGCTTAACTGAAGAGTTTTAATGGAAAAACATTGCAAAGGTGCTAGCAGTTTTGAAGTGCAAATACAGTTCATGAGCAACTCTGCTTTAGCAGGGGTTTGGCAGCAATTTGTTCACTGGGCTGACAACATATCCATCTTCCCAGCAGGGATTGGGAACTTCCCAGTTCTTCAGACCTCTTGTGTACTGTGATTTGATGATACAGTAAATCCAGCTTTAGGGTTCCCAAAAGCAGACCACCACCTCCCCCTTCCCCAAGAATCGTATGCCCCAAAGTGCTGATGTTGCTGCCTAGACTCCCTCTGCCTGTCTGAGTGTGCACTGAGGGCACTGCTGGGGTAGCACCACACAGATGAGTTTTATGGCACATCTCATGCCACCTGCCTTCCTTCAGCTGGAGAAGCAACCAGCGCAGACTCTGAACTGTGCTTTCTGGCTATCTGGAGAGATCAGATGCCTCTGGTTTCTGCAGATCCCATTCACACTGCTGAGAGCTGGGGTACAGCCCAGGGGAGCTGCATCCAGAGCTGCAAAGATGCCTAAAAAGAGGCAGTGCAGCTCCACGCTGTGGGGAAGGAAGGGAAGTAGACAGGGAGCTTGCACAGATGGGAGGGAGTGGGGGAGTCTCTGCTCACTGGTACCCAGTGACATCCCCTTCTGCTGGGATGCTGAGGGGGCTTCACTAACCCCCCTATCCCCAGGTCTCCCCTTGTCCCTTCTGTGGTGCAGGGCTGGGAGTTTCCCCTTCCACAGCCTGTTTTGTCAGTCTCCTCTGAGCTGTACTGCGGCTCCTGCCACTTGACATTTTCTTCCACTTATAGCTTGTAAAACAACAGCAGGTGACTTTGGGAGGATATTGGACCTGGGACCAACAAAACCCCATGGAGGACTCTGCTTTTTATCTTCAAAGGTGTGTTTCTGCCCACAGTGGATGTCCATGGCAAAATTCCCTGTGGTCCCATAGGGAGTGCCCCTGGGCAGGGGTTAATCTTCAAGTGCTTTGCCTGCTGCTGTGGAAACCACCTCTTCCAGGTGACAGGCCCAGCCTTTAAGAAGGAGTGCCCCATTGCTTGTGTGGCACAGAGGAATCTCTAGTACCGTGGTGTCAGGGCTGGCTCTCCACTGATGTACACTCACGAGGGTGCTGGAAAGGTCCTGAGCATTCCTGATCTGAAGCATCGATGGCTCTGGCAGAGGGTCATCTGCATGCAGGATAAACCCCTTCCCTCAGGGATTAATTGCTGGTGGCCAGGCCAGTCCATGGTACAGCCAGTAAGGCTTAGCGATGAAACCAGGTTGCCTGTGCTAGGGTTGCCAGTTGGGGCAGGGAGAGGGCTGAGTACTGCCAAAAGACATCTGGTGCAATATTCCTGGGAAGTGTGGCAAAGACACACTTGCTGTGGGACCAGTCAGGTTTGGTTTCATCAGGGATAACTCACAAGACTGATCTGAACAAGTTATTGGTCCATGTGCCCCACTGAGTAGCAAGTACTGAGGGTGTTTTGAGGCATCCAGCCATGGTTAGTAGCTGGTTTCCCTTTGAGTGGTTTTGCCCTGGTTTGAACTTCTCTCAGGCTGCCCTTGGAAGATCACCAAGTGAACAGTTCAGCAACACAGTTTCAGCTTGGTATTGTCAAATGGATCCAATGGCTTTCCTATTATTTTGGCTGAGAAAGCCAGTTGTACCCTTTAACTGTCACAGCTTCCATCAATCT